TGCTATGCTAGTAGTTTTCGTCTACTCTCCGTATTAGAAGCCATGTTTTTCGTACTCGTGATCCAGATTCATACATGCAGAAGGAATTCGTTACAGCACTCACACTCTTCACTTAACACTCACGCACCAACTCACATAATATATGTACCTTTCTCACCTGCATTTCTCTAATCTACATTTGCTTTCACACTGCTCGCTGCTCATGTAATCACGCCTCCAATAGTACTAGCTGTAGAATAGCAGTGTTTCTTGTACTTCAATGTATTAGTTATAGATCTAACAAAGGAGACTGTGACATTTGGACTACTTTAGGACAAATAGCTTCCAAAACTTATTGATATAGCTATGAATAGGATGAAGGCCGCAGACATCACGCAACTACGTTACTTGTTTGACATGCATTTACTGTGTATTTTAGAACAAAAAATATTATTGAAAACCCATAATCGATTTTCTTGTTCTTATCATCAGTGGGAAAATACGGAACTAAGGATACAACCAAAGAAACTGTTAAGTACTGTAAATAGAAAGGTGTTAGAAATAACAACAAGATACAAGTGCAATAAAACCACTAGAGGAAACGCAAAAAGGTAACAAGATTACGTAACCAAAGGCGAGAAGGCACTAAACGAAGTGTCAACCTACGAATACAACTGCAGTGCAACAACGTGCTCCTTCTGCTTACACAAAACAGGCTTATGAATACGTATACAAACTGCCTCAAGGACTTTCAACTGTTGGACATAACGCTCACAACACAGTACAGAAAAATGAGAGTCATCATACACACTAAGACAGTCAGGACGAGATAACAAGTGTAGATACACAGCTGACTTCTTACGATCAACACATTCATCCGCCTCATTTCGCTCCTTCCCTCCCGACTCCTCCTCGTCCATCTCATCATCCTCTTCCTCGTTCCGCTCGTCATCCTCACGATCATCATCACTACCATCATCTGCCTCCACCTCTGTCTCCTCACCAACCGTTTCGTCATCCAATTGCTCTTCCATCCTCTGATCACCTGTCTCATCCTCCGTTTCTGTACAGACCAGTAGTAAGTGCGGGGCGGGTTCTGGTGCAGTTTTTGACCTTTGAGCCAAATAAGGCACACTGTGTCGGTCGTGCTTGGTCTGGCCCCGGGACTCCCCAGAGTTTGACCTTTGACCCCTGGCATGCCATAAATGTCATCATGTTCTTTTCCGTGGCGAACGTGCACTTGTGCACGTTCGGTGCATTCATTGTATTCGCACCAGGGAGTAGTAAAATACGTACTATTCCCTGATTCGCACATCGTAGATGTGCATTGCATGCAGTGGCATATTGCGCATGCGCGCATACGCACGCGGAGCATGTGACCTTCAGTGGTCCTATGCGTGTGGAAAAGATGCAGTGCAACACAAGGTGTACTACAGTCCATTCATAAAAAGATGGGTCCTGGCTCTCGCGAGCTCCCGTATTTGGCGATTTTTCGTGATTTCATCGTACACAGTGCAGTGCTGCGAACTTTGAAATTTGAAAAAGGGTCCAAAAAGGGTGCCTGAACTGGGGTTCGAACCGCAGAATGCACTGTTGCAGGCGGGGTCAAACGGCCTGGATTTTGATGGTTTTTCCCAATTCAGTGCTTTTGGGGCAAAACCTGGCCGAAATCCTATTCTTGCTATGGCTTGCTTTTTGGACAAAAAAACTTCAGAAACATAATTGGAAGAGGATTCCATATGGGACTGCAGAAAAAAATTCTAAAAAAACTCAACGTTTGACCCATTTATGGCTAAAAGCTAGAAGTTCATCTTTTTCTGAATGGACTGTAGTACACGTGTCATTATACTACTAGTCCGTGAGCCAAATCTCAGAATCGGCAGTTTTAGCATCGACCGTTGCACCCAGAGAGGGACAAATCGTCCTTCAGCACACCGCTTCACGATGGTATCCTGAAGCGATTTCCACTTGTTGGACAGTTCGAAACTGATCCAGGGAGGTCACAGAAGACGCCAAACATCCAACTTTGCTCACTGACAGCAGCGGCCATTTTCGCCGCGCGCCTTCTTCGCTTGATCTTTTTGCGCTTGTTCACGGATTCTCATTTTTTGAAGCCATGAGCAGATACCACGAGTGCACATAACGAGGAAACCAGTGCACAAAACTAGATTCGAATTTTTTTGCCGCTGAGAATTATGAATCGGGATGCAAACTGCATGCAGCAAAGTCACTACTGTTTGTAGTTACAATGCAATCGTTCAGAACTGACTTCCAAGAATGTCCTAAATATCTCTCGACATATTTGTTCACCACTTCCTAGGCCAATAGGCGTAGTAGACTGTAGTGAGTAACATTCTGGAGCAGATGACGACTGCCCCGAGCATGAACTTCTTTTCATCCTGTTCAAGGTCAAATATTACTCAGTTTGCGTTGAAGAATAACAATTACATTCGTGAATGGCCGAACTGAGAAAACCCTCATGATTTCTCTTGGATTTCGTATCCCAAGCTCCTCTACTTGGCTGGATAAATCGCCTCTTGACTTCATCATACTGGACTGGAACTTGTAGATAATAGCGAGCAATGAATTGGTGAGTGAAGTATATTTCAAAAGTAATAACCACTCGATTACTGAATAGTAGTGAATACGTAGAATACTCCAGTATTATAATGATATGAACACTGAAGCTAATGTGACATTACAGTAGTACAATAGGAAGTACGTCACCACTGTTGTAAATGCACGCGCTGATCCTGTCCAACCTGACGGCCAATGCAAGAGGTTGGAATTGGCTATTGATTTCCTAACACACTCATACAGCACCAAAAGCTATCTGTCATTGCTCATTTTCAACTCAACATAACACAGTTGCAAATCACCAGGTGCACATCTTGGCACATTATGTGTGCTGTCGCAGTCCACCGCAGAACATAGTAACAGATAACTACCGATATAAGATGATGTCACATACATACATGAATATGCAGTCTCCCAGGCACGCGCGCGCGCGTGCGTGCGCACACACACACATGAACCAGCTGCCGAATCCGACTATGTCAGTCTGCCATGACTGCGAAACCAGCGAAGACATACGGTGCATTGGCTGCTGCCAGACTGGTCTGCTACAGGTTTGCGACGCTCTTGAGTACACTTGTGGCATGGCAGGCCGCTCTTCGAAAAGGAAATATTACAAATACTACACTGAATCCGATCACGGGAGGCCGGCTGTGGTGGTGAAGCAATTCTGAATGCTGTGCACCACTCTCCTCGCTGCTGTGCAGTGTCGAACCAATGTCCTTCAAGATGTAAGTGATGGATGTCTCTTCGGACAACATCACACCAATGCTGTCGGGTTTCACACACACACACACACACACACACACACACACACACACACACACACACACACACACACACACACACACACGGCGCACACCTTGTCGACAATTGCGGAATCTAAAACCCACCAACGACCTGAAACACGGATCGCACTGGCTGTGGCAACACCGTGCCCCAACACCAGTAGTAGCCTGGGGTGGTGTCACCAACAAAGGAAAACGCCTAGCACGCACATGCACGCGCGCGCACACACACATGCACGCTCGCACACACATGCATGCTCGCACACACACATGCACGCGCTCGCACACACACATGCACGCGCATGCACACGCACGCGCACACACACACACATGCACACACCCACACACACAAACACGCGCACACATGCACACTCGCACACATGCACGCACGCGCGCGCACACACACAAACACACGCACACCCAGAAATGTGCACACAAACACGTGCGCACACACACATACACAGCTAATGGTATACAGTAGTATGTTGCCCGCAAAGCAGCCAGGTGCTCTGGCTTGGACCTCCAGCAGCGCTGGTTTCGCCCTCGCTACTTGTCGTCTAGCCCTCTCCAGTGCTGCCTGCAACAAAACATTCCCTTCCGGAAACTCTGGGTGGACCAGTTCTCCGTGTTGTGTTTACACCGTGCTCTGCTTTCATAATTACCGGTATGGCATTCGTTGTTCGTATCAACCACTAAGCTCCTGGTAGGTGGCCCCTTACTGGCCTTAGGATGTGGCTCTGGGTTCACTACTACATGCACATCACTGTCAGCAAGTATAGACAAAGCAAAATCAGAGGCACTGGTCTTCTCCAGGTTTGCAATTGCTATCACATGGGTGCAATTAGTGTAGTACTTTCCATGATACCAGCCACACCATTTACTCCTCCCTGAGCTCTTGTGCTGGCAGAGAAAAGCCCAGATATGGTCGTCCTTCTCTCGAGCAGCGCTGACGATGCGACACCAACTTGTAGTCTCGATATTACTCACTGCAGGCTTCTCGTTTTTACTAAATTGGGCGCTGTGACACAGACACAAAATTCCAGCAATATTACTCCGCTGGGCTGTCATTTGCCACTTCGTTGCCGTCAGCTGCCTCATCCAGCACCTCGCTGCCACTAGAAACGTCTTCCTCTTCTTCCATTGTTGTCAAACCAACATCAATGTACACGAAAGGAATAAACTTCAATAAAGTGATCACAATATCCCAAGTCGATATTGTCGTCAACGTCGTCATCTTCTAAAAAATAAATTATTTTTCCTCACTCCACGCGAACTCGTGTTTTGCGCTTGCTCATACGACGCACACCTCACCACTCGCGTAAAAATATTTGTTCTTACGGTAAAATTTGGTCGAGAAAAGAAGCCCTCGCGAAGGTCTCGGGATCGGTTCTGGAACGTCCAACAAGCGAAAACGTATCCTTTGTGATGTCCTTGACCAACACTGTAAGCGGCGATTTGTCCATCCTAGAGTGCAACGGCACTTGTGATTTTGAGTTTTGGCTCACGGACTATACTCCCTGATTCGCACTTCGTAGATGTGCAGCAAACAAGTTCACGTTCCGTGCATTCGTTTTATTCGCACATCGTCGATGTGTACTGATTGACAAGTTGCCCATACAGAGCATGCCTAATCGGCTTTTCGATCGGTTAAAGGGGAACTCCACGAAAAAATGAAACTTTGATAGCCTGTAGAGTTTCGGGCGCTGAGTCGAATGGTCTTGGTCCGAAGTCTCTACGACGAAGCGTTCTTGAGATATTTCACTTTGAAATTGCAAAAACGGGGGCCGCGCCCTGACGTCATGCGGCCATTTGGTTACATCATCACGGGCTGCCTACGTCATTGTGGCAAAGTCGTTTCTCTTCGCCAGTCTACAAGCACTAATTTTAGTTGGTATTTCAAGGGAAGATGGGCGATTCCGAACAATCCTCTGTCCCCAGCAATGAAGGCAGCGATGCTGAGGCCAGTGAGGACGACCAACAGCCCACCGCCGCGTATGGTTGGGGCAGGGAGCCCAGATACTCTGCTGAGGAGCTGCCATCGCGTGTAACAAATGTGGAGGAAGAAGATGCGTCAGCAGCTGCGTCCGACAGAAGACGAGTAGCTTGGCCACCAGAATCTCGATTCGTTTGGGACTCCGACTGGTGCGAGCGTGGACAAAAGTGTATAGCCATGCCCAGCCCGCGGGAATGATTTTGTTGGTAGGATGCTGCCGTCGCTGTCGACAAGACGGCCCAAGGTTTCTTGCGTAGCGGACCTCGCAGATTACGAGATCGTATCCTTGCATTAGGCTGTGCTCATCACTGCTCTTCGAGGTTATCTCGACATGCAGAAGCCGCCAATGCCAGTGACAGAAGAGTCTGACATTAGGTAAGCCTCAATTAGTTTGCCTTGACTTGTCTTGTGAGGATCGCGTATCAGCATGATACACTTATCAGGGGCGGATCCAGGGGGGTGCGAAGGGTGCAAATGAACCCGTCAGGATTTTTCAAAAAAAAAAAAAAAAAAAAAAAAAAAAAAAAAAAAGGTCAGGCCAGGCCAGGCCCAGGCTCGCTGATTGCTGCTCGCTTGTGGCAGTCCCGGCTGTCATGAAGAAGACAACAGATTGGAAGGCCTCCCTGAAACGCTTCATCGACCAGTACAGCGAAGACATGCCAGCACCTTCATCTATTACGTCCGAGCTCGACAACTGGTGGGTGAAGTGGAGCCGCGTGGGTGAAGACTCTCTGCCCTCCACTGTTCAAGCCGCACTCCAACAGTGTTGCAAGCACACTTTCCCCAACATCTTCGCCACACTAGCCATTCTAGCTGTGATGCCGATCACGTCTTGCGAGTGTGAGCGAAGCGTGTCGGCCCTGCGTCTCCTTAGGACCTACCTCAGGAGTACAATGGGACAGAGTAGACTACACTGTAGCTCTACTCCACATCCGCTACGACTTGGCTGTTGATGTCACTGACATCGTCGACATGTTCGCCCTCAAGCACCCACGGAAGATGAGGATGACCAACATTCTCCAGGATGCGGAGTGAGGAACTGAACAGCCGCCCTGAATTCTGACTAGAGTTGACATTGTGTATATAGCATGTACATAGCATAATCTGTGTCTGACTGAGAATCATACCGGTAGCAGTCGTAAATTACTTGTAAATTTTGACATTCAATGTGTAACTAATCATACTACTCATCTTGGTGCTATGTGTAATTATGATATTATACAGTAACATACTATGTCTTTGGTTTACTACTGCAAAAGAAAATTATGTAAGTTTCATCCTCGCACCCCTCAGCTTTGGGGTCTGGATCCGCCCCTGCTTATTCTTATTTTTTGGGGGAAATTTATTGTTGTCAGGCGCACTACAGTAGGCGTCGCACAAGAAAGACATTGTACTGGTAGTTATCACAAGTTTCATGCATGACACAAACAAATTTCTCTTTGCTCCGAGTATGTCTTGACTTATCTTGTGAGGATCGATGCGCGTAATGTTTTGTGTGTAACTAATTATTGTTGTCAGGCATAGCACGAACAAAGTTGTTCTGTACTATAGACCGTGCTATCACAAGTTTTCATGCATGACTCACATTTGTCTTTGTCATTTTCCCTTGGATTGGTACAAGATCTACAAAGTATGGTAGGTAGTGTTCTGTTGGTGAAGAGAGCACTGCACACAGTGTATGAGCACCATGGGTGCATTTGATCACACCCGAACCCATACTTTATCGTTTCAAGCGATAGACTTTGTCAATAAACTCGTTTTCTAGTATACCATGGCATGCAACGTACAAGCGTGGGGTCAAGAAAGCGTACACCAAAATAATGCACAAATTCTGGCAGGAGAGTAAGAAATCTGTACTTTCTGACCAAGACATCTCTGTACTAGTAGGTAATCGAACGCGTCCTAATCAGTATTCATCCCCCAGATCATTGGAATTCAATTTGAAATCAGCAATTATGGTAAATTCTACAAGACCCTCCATCTTTGTACCAGTGGACACTAAATTAGTATGGCGCGCGCACTGAAAGTGCAGGTAGGTACCGGTAGGTGCAATACAGCGCATATGTAGAGTAAATGAGTATTTGACTATAATAATTATTACGGTACAGCAATGTGGTATGTGTACAAGCACTCATCATACACATTCCATATGACATTCTGTGTTTGTGTAGATCTCTACGCTATGCGGCACACAGGCAGTACACACTATGTACACGGCAAATTGGGCAAGCACGTTCGTTGTCGTCTTCCAGCCTGCGTTGTGAATACCATCAGGCAAAGATATCCAAATCCTGCACCACCTCAGCCTTCTCAGGAGGCTTCCACCTGGAATTTGGCAGGGAAACACGCTTCTCCAAGGCAGGAACATGAAGGTTGCCATTTGCAACCGCTACCACCTCACACATGAGCTTGTCAACATACTCATAGCTCTTTCTGTCGTATAATTTTCTATTTGGCCACAGTCTTCTTTATGCTTTGAGAACTGGACTTTATACCTTCCTATCGCGGTCTTTTTGGTTGTGCTGTGGCGACGGTTGACATTGACGTCGTCAAGAGCTGCGAGATGTGCGTGTCCAATCATCCCCAGAATTGAGAAACGAATGCGTTTGAGAATGTAGTTTGGCATGACATTGTGATATACCTGCATGGCAAAAAGAATGTGGAGAAAACACACTTGCTTAGACAATATACTGCTGTATGAGAAAATGGAAACTTCACCGTACAGGACGACTCTTGTTCTCAATTGCATTGTTCGTTTCATTCCCTGTGTTGCCCATAAGAGACGGGAGCAAAAATGTTGCAGCAGATGTTTGTTGTCTTCTGGCGTGGAGTGGCGGCGTCATTAGATGTACACATAGTCATTTCACTAAGTATACCACTACTACAGCATATGTACTATCCTTAGGCTAGCGTGCGTGCGAGTGAGTTTGAGTATGTGGGTGCGTATGTGTGTGTGTTGTTGTGTTTGTGTGTGTGCACGCACACGCACGCGCGCGCATGTGGGTGATGGTGTGAGTGCATGTGTATAATATGTGTAGTTCCCACTGTATTCCTTGCACAATAGGTCTTCACTTACTTTTCTTTCGCATACAACCAGAACCCATTCCTTGTTCGAAATTAGATTTTTTTGGCCTGGTGATCCCGCAAGCGTGGAACTCGGAGTGTAATATATTTTTGTTTCACTTTACTTGCACTATTCCAAGGCTGTCCAGACTTCTAACAACTGCTCTGAGTGATATGGTATTCATGCAACCATGCCTAGAAGTAGGGTAGCTGTTATAAATAGAGACATATCCACGCAATCAACTTACACTGGTTCAGTTTGGCAGGATTGGTGAGACAGTTCGTCGTGCATGCTGCCTGCACATCGCAAGCAAACAGTTCTGTAACCTTCGTACTTGCTGGGGGTCTGTCTGTTTGCGTCCCAGTTGATGACAGATGTGCACAGTTTGAGTACTGGTATGCGCAAAGTTACTGGGGTAATATCGTTCATCAGCTAGCTGCAGTCGGAGTTGATGGGGTGATGTACTCTTCTGATCCTGATGGGACGTATCTCGCCCTGCTTTCTCAGTTGCAGCTTGTTGAGTTCGCTTTGCTGGAGGCTCACGGTTCGGAGGGCACTGGTACACTGATGAGGGCTTTCCTGGACGGCGTACTCGTCAAAACTCAGCTCTCAAGTCCCTCTGGATCATAAATGCAGCGAGCAAACATAGCTCGTGCTGCGAAAATAGGCTTGAAATTTTCACGACGCATTGCAACATCTCGGCGCTTTGCCAGGTCTCCATCCTTTGGGAATTTGAGAAAACTAACCCCAGGAGGATGATGTGATACTGGCACAATCAACAACACAACAATTTGGCATTGCAGCGGCTCAGGCGACTTGGCAAACTACTTTCTGAAGTGACTTTCGTCCTGAAGAAAGTGAGATTCAAAATCCAAGTATTTTCGCACATTGCCACAATGACGTCACACATACATTGGTATGGGGCGTGGCTAAAATTGAAATATCTCAAGAACGCTTTCTCGTAGAGACTTCGGACCAAGACCATTCGACTCAGCGCCCGAAACTCTACAGGCTATCAAATTTTCATTTTTTCGTGGAGTTCCCCTTTAAGAAAATTCGGCCATATTATGAGCCCCAAGATCAGAATTCGGCTCAACGTAGTACTTGAAGTCACCGTTCCAATTACGTCATGTGCATTTACACACACTCTGTTGAAGCACTAAAACATCGATTTTCGGCGAATTCAACAAGCGAAATTTGAAAAATCGGCGAAAAGATGGGTGATTTCTTCAAAACCACTTTCTTTGGTGAATTTTTCGGCCGGCCGATTTGGGAAATGCTCAGGACCATCACGCCCAACAACAACCAAGTTCCAGTATGAAGCTACCAAGTCCGATTTGAACAAGGTGGCGGGGCTCGAGTCTGTCAAGTGCCGGTGGCAATTCATGTTATTATTATTTTATTTATTTTACTAGGGTGTTTCCCACAGACCATGTGTTTCGTTACGCTGCAAAAGCAGCGTATTACTTTATCCCTTCCACTAATTGTTATCGGCCAATCAGCATACTCTCACCACCTCACATCCAATCAGCATATCCCACGTCACACTAATGTTACACAAACTTGTCTCATATATGCGAAAGAATGGTACTGGATCATAGCAACATCCTCCTGGATAATGAACAAAATAACGATTAAAACACAACAACCAAAAACAACCAACAACAGCCAACAACAACCGACAACAACCGACAACAACCGACAACAACCGACAACAACCGACAACAACATCCAACAACCAACAACAACTGACAACAACCAACTACAACCAACAACAACTGACAACAACCAACTACAACCAACAACAACAACAAACAACAACAACCAACAACCGACAACAACAAACAACAACAACCAACAACAACCAACAACAACCAACAACAACCAACAACAACAACAACCAACAACAACCGACAACAACCAACAACAACCGACAACAACATCCAACAACCAAAAACAACTGACAACAACCAACTACAACCAACAACAGCACACAACAACAACCAACAACCGACAACAACAAACAACAACAACCAACAACAGCCAACAACAACCAACAACAACCAACAACAACGGACAACAACCGACAACAACCAACAACAACCAACACCAACCAACACCAACCAACAACAACACCCAACAACCGACAACAACACCCAACAACCGACAACAACAGACAACAACAACCAACAACAACCAACAACACCTGACAACAACCGACAACAACCAACAACGCCCAACAACAACCAACAACAACCAACAATAACCAACAACAACCGACAACAACCGACAACAACCGACAACAACATCCAACAGCCAACAACAACCGACAACAATCAACAATAACAACCAACAACCGACAGCAACAACCAATAACAACCAACAACCGACAGCAACAACTAATAACAACATCAACAACGACGACGATAACGACGACAACAACCGACAACAACATCAACAACAACCAACAACAACCAACAACAACCAACAACAACCGGCAACAACCGACAGCAGCAACCAATAACAACATCAACAACGACGACGATAACGACGACAACAACCGACAACAACATCAACAATGACGACGACGATAACGACGACAACCACAACAGTGTCCGGTAATGTGTGGTAGAGAATGGCAGTCAGCCAGTCTGTGTACAGTTGAACATGTATAATAATAAGAAACACATTTCGCGTAGTTGAGCACTAAATAAAGAAATTCAGTGTTTTTTCCCACTTCTGTCTTGTGAGCATCATCAGCAAGGTGTAGTAGCTGCTGATACTGATTTGTCCTCGAGTGTCGAGCTGCACAGTTTCTTCCAGTCTGTCTTGTCCTCTGCATGTTGCCGGCACCTGGAAAGGTCTTCCATGGTCTTCATGGGCACACCCAGCTTATTCAACTGAGCGACCAGACTTGTGGCTGTGTCAACCTTGGCCGCCCACGAGGTGCTTTGTTGTCCTTGTCCAAATAGCCGCTCATGGCTACTTAGGGTGGCGTGTCCGTGTCCATCTGTAACACATGACTGGTCATTCATAGTCGCCTACATGCAACTGTGTCATGTATTACTACAAGAACTCAACCAAGTCCTCAGCAGTCATGGAGTAGCGGCAGGTTGGGAAAGTTGGGCTGGGGGCAGAACTGATCCACTCCTTCATACAGTGGAAGTGAAATTCATGACCGCACTCCAACTTGGATAGAGGACGGTCCAGGGTATCCTGACAAATCACACAAATGGGCTCATGACTTATTGCTGACGAGTCTACCTTAGTAGGCACTATATTGATGTACTGCAGCTCCATGGGGTGTATTGCCTGGTCTTGATGGTGGCTACCGTAATACACCCCGTTGAGGTACCACTGATAGATACCCTCCTCCTCCTGAGAGATGAAAGCAGGTCCATCTTCCCTATGCCGAAGGTTGTATCGGTACCACTCCCGTACACGATTGTTATCTTCCCTGCGTATCACCGCTGGCGCATTCTCCCTGTGGAGCCTGCCGTGGTGATACCACCGTAGAATACGGCATGTGGCGTCACAATAACTGACTGCAGGACCGCCGGCTCTATGACGGACACCGTTGACGTAGTACTCGATGCTACCCCGTCCTATCCAAGCAGGTTCATTAACGTGATGAAGGCGACCTCCATAGCACCAGGCGGACACTCCCCTACTATCAACAAGAGCTGGTCCGTCCTCCCGATGGAGTCTACCATCGACGTGCCAAATTTCTTGCTGCACGTTTTGATCTGCCAACTCCACAACAGTTCTTATTGGCGTCCGTCTTTCTATTAGTAAAGGACCCGTGGTGAGAGACCACGACCGGTCGTCCAAGTCTACGCCGAATGTATCAGCCATATCTATTTACTGAGAATAATATAACAACTCCTCCACAAACGCTTCTACAACTGACGTCTTCTTCATCCTGGTTTTTTCCTCTTGGTGGTTTTGGATAAGAGTTGAAAAGTCCAAAAGGTCAACTGATGACCTTTGCGTTACTTGGTATGATTGGGTTTTAGCGGATGATGTCGGTATGCAGCTGGGGAGCGAATTCGACAGGAAGAAGGTAAAGGTCTTGCTTTGCGGTTCACACCTTCACTTCAGTATCATTTCAGTCCAAATAGCTTTCACTTGTCACTGTAGCGTTCGAATGTCAGGGGTAATACCCCTATTCCAGCACCTGAGGCGGTGCGTCAAGCGCCGCCTCTTTCTCATCATATATTGTGACAAATGGTAAGTGTGCAGTGCTCCTAGCTCTCTCCCCCAAAAAAAGAGCTCTATGACACTGTGCTTTCTGCGGTTTCTTTCGTTTTTACAGTGGAGAAAGGCTGGTGGGAGGCCAAGCCGTGGCCGCACACCTGGCGGGTGCGGCCCATCGAACCCGTTACTGGGAGGGCCGGCAGGTCGGGCTGCTGTTGCAGTCCGACTATCGGGACGCC